CGCTGCTAGGACGGGCTCGCCTCCCTCTCCCCCGCGGGGCGGGTCCCGTTCCAGTCCCGTCTCCCTCCTGCCCCTCGGCCTCTGCGGGGATGTCCAGCCCGGGAGTGAGGGGGAAGGAGTCAGTCTGAGGGTGGGTGGGCAGGACACAGGGCTGGGCTGAAAGGAAAAAGAAGGGTAGGCCTTGTGGTGTTGCGGTGGGGTTAGGCTGTGGTGAGTTAGGCTGTGGTGAGGTAGCTGCGGTAGTTTGGAGGCAATCGAGGTTTGAGAAGCAGGGTGGTAGAGAGGTATGAGAAGGTGGCTGACTGAAATGAAAGGCCTGAGCGGGGTGGTTTTGAGGGGGGCGTGGCGAGGTCGTGGCTTCGGGCTGAGGGAGCTGGAAAAGTGGGGATTTAACGTGAGGAAAAATACGTTGGAGGGAAAGGTGTTTATAATCTGGGGGTGACAGGTGAAAGTTTGTACGTATGTGCTCCTTGATTTCTGCAGCAAGGTAATAGTGTCTGGAAATCATAATTCTAGAGGAGGACACGGGGAGCCTGCTGCCTTGGAGGAGAGCAGCAAGATTTGCACATGACCTGGCCACTGTCTGACTGCTCCCTTGTCTGGTAGTTGCATATGGGTGCATGGGAGCTTGGGTGTCTCTGCAGGGTAGACGGTATTTGTGATCCTTTTGATCCATCGCATTCAGAGCAGAAAAGGGGGACATCTCATCTTGAAATGTCTTTGTTTCCTGTTCCATCCAGAAAACTTAATTTGCCAGCTGCTGCTCTGTCAGCAGCTCAGGAAAGAGATTTTGAGCTACAGGGCTATGGATTTGAAGCTGCGCCAGAGCAATTGAGAAGGCCACGTATTGTTCGAGTAGGACTAGTACAAAATAAAATTCCACTTCCCACAGACACAGCCGTGGCAGTCCAGGTACACAAACTGGGATCTGGGCCGTTTGTGTGTAACTCCTCTTCTGCTGGATTGACAAATAACATGCTTTTCTTGTTGATGTTAGAAACTCCATCAGGAAGTGTCTACCAATTGGAAATATAGGACCCATCACTATCTTAATGCAGCATACTGTAAGAAGTTCAAACGACACATTCAGTTTTATTGTTTTTCAGAAACATCTCTTGTGTTATATTTACCTAGTGAATTGCCCAACCTGTTTGCAATTTCTCCAAAGCTAAATATTTAGTCACTGATTTTGTACATGAAAATCCTTTGTCTCTAAAATGGAACAGAAAATCATTTGCCTGAAATCAAAAGAGATGGCAACTCATGGAAACCACAGGTGCAGTTCTTCTTTTAATTGAGAAATGTTCCATTATAGGAAAATCTGTTAGAGTAAACACAGATTAATAAAAATGTGTTCATTATTCTTTGTACAGCAGTAAGCCAAATCTTATTATAAGGTGATCATCATCTCCCAACATCTTGGACAGAAAAGCACTGAGGTGACATATATAGAAATAGCCTCCTAAAAATAGCTTAAAAAAAGTGAAATACCACACTTCTTAAATCTCCTGGATTAGTAGTTTTGTACAGTGACAAGGCAGAACATTTCTGAGGTAATTTGTTTTGGAAAGATTACCTGTCACAGATGCAAGTAATTAATTCAGTATATGGATCAAGTTTGTGGATTCTTTGTAGCATCTGTTAAAAAGATTATCAGTTATATTAATGATTTTACCATATAAATAACTAGTTAACTGTTTCTGTAAATCAATGTACAGTTTTTGAGTTCACAGGTCACTGTTGGCTTGCCTCTCGTCCCTTTTTTTTAATTGACATCTGAAAGTATCAATACAAAGTGCTACACCTATGCTTTTCTTTAAGTAGAATACTCAAGAAAAAAGTACTTTGACACAATGTTTTTTGAGAAATTAATAAATGCTTTCATGGTTTTTCTTGGTAATAATCTACTTAGATCTTTGGACAGAGGGATTTAGAAAATAGTTTGGAGTTAATAACTTGTAGAGAGTGTCCGAGATCCACGTGTGTGGTCAGGATTCAGAAATAACCAAGGAAATGGACTGACCTTACCTCATATTTTAAGATTCTGAGTACTTGACTTTGAATTCACGTTTACTTAATGTCATTCTGTAGGTTGTTTATGATGAGCAGCACAATTATAACTTTTGCTGATTCTGTTAAGATTTTTAGCTACTTGCAAGTCAGTCAGCAATGAGATGCCATATATTTCAATGTTGTAACAATGGAATTAGAATTCCATTAGATTCTTTCTCTATTTTCAGCATCTAAATGCTTTTAAAAATCTGTATCTAGCTCTTTCTATTATCAGTGCTCAGGAATGATAACTTTTTGAGTTATTCCCTCTGAAAGCAATGGGACTAAGTATAGAACAAGATAAATTTAATGTGAACAAAGCTTGTAAAACCAGGCTATTAATATACAAGTGGGTTAGAACATACGGCTTTTTTAATAGCATGACACTTCTCGCAATCAGGTGGCTGCACTGCACAGACGAATTGAGGAGGTTGTGGAAGTAGCTGCAATATGTGGGGTCAACATCGTTTGTTTCCAGGAGGCTTGGAGTGAGTATTTTCTGTGATTCCTTCTAGGTTGTCAGAGGTCAAGTTCCTTCTGTTTTAACAAGCATCCTGTACTAGAAGTAGTAGAAATATGTACTAGTATGTACTGTAAGTAAACAGCAGAGATCTTCCAAGAGATAACAGTTGACTTTGCTGATTTACTTTCTAAAGGAAAAAGCAAAGAGTGTTAGTTAGCAGAACTGTTTGGAAAATGTGTGTGAAGTCTGCTGTATCAAAGACTGCTGTATGCTGCAGCAGTGATATTTGTGGGTGTGCTCCTTCTTTGTGTCATCCTTCGTGATCCTTTCCTCATTTTTTTTCTTATAAAACTTCGGTTTTTTTCTAGACAGATATTAAAATTTTAAAAATCTAATTTTAATTACAATGGAGTCTTTGACTCTTAGTAGAGGCGAAAATCGAAATGAAGGCCCAAGTTGTGAAAAGAGGTTATTTGCAGAAAGTGTGCATTAGTGACTAGGGTGTATTTTGTATTTTTACCTCTGGTAAGACTTCACTAAGTGCATTCTTTCCCTTCTGCTTTGCTGCATGGGCCTGAAACTCCTTGCCTTTCAAACAAAGGGAACAGTCGAATCATTCCTAAGCGTTTAATTTTTTTATCTGTATTCGTGAAAACTGTGTGTATTTCTTGAGTGACATGAACATTCTTGTAAATTGCATTCTTCTTTGCATTCCTGTTTTCCAGCCATGCCCTTTGCTTTTTGTACAAGAGAGAAGCTTCCTTGGACTGAATTTGCTGAGTCAGCAGAGGATGGGCCAACAACAAAATTCTGTCAAGAGGTAAAAAAACAACCAAGCAAAAAAACCTTCATATCCAGCCTCCAACCCTAGCTCATGACTGCCACTGATTAGCATGGATTTTTTCTTTATGTACCAGTCTTGTACCACTGAGGAAACTGAAATAATAAAAAATAAATTTTCACCTTGCTTGACAAATATTATGCTAGTGAGTGAAGTAGAAATGGACAACAACTGTGCTCAATATTTATTTTTTAAACTACTTTGCATTTATAGACTGCCTTGTACCATGGAAGGCATATGGAACTGCCCGTTTAACTATTCCTGAATTTTACAAGAACAATTCTTCCTACAAACATCTTTAATTTCCATTTAAAAAATGTTTATTTCCTGGAACAGTTGAGTATTAAACAATGGTTGTAGGAAGGTGTGAGGAGAAGAATAACTAGCCTTTTCTGAACAGGGAACAGTTTCACACAAATCTTTTTGCATCTCCCTGTGGAATGACACAAAATATAGGAGGCCTTTTATGGACTCAAGGAGATTTGTTATTGTCTTGCTCTTATTTTTCCAGACACTGTTGATTGCAAGGGTGGTAGAGTTTATTTTTGTTTTCAGACAACTTTTTAAATAAGAAATTTTCATTATTTTCTTCTACAAGTGATTGAAACAAGAAAGACTGTTTGATGTCAAATTTGCCCAGATATGCATTGACCTATGCTTTTGTAGACAGCATAATACCTTTAGTATGATCTAGGGCAAGTCTGTGTTGCTTCTTGCTATGGAATTAATGACACTATGGAAGTTTGGAGAAATAGAAGAAAGAGAAGTGATTTGAAGGAAAAGACAATGTGCTAGTAAACTGGCAGTCAGAAGTTGCTGTATCTCTCACTCACACCTATGCTATTTAACATGAATAGTTAACACGTAACGCTATTTTACATTTCCTTTTTTTTTTTTTTTTTTTTTTTTTAAAATAACCATTTCCAGCTAGCCTCGGTGCCTTTCTTTCTGGTATACCACCTGTGGTATACCAGAATGAAACAATGTGATGGCATCTATCTCCTTTTATACCTGTGAATAGATAGAGGTCAGCTTCGTAGTTTGACTGTCACTGTTTAGATGCCTTTTTTCCATTTGGTACCGTGCATTTCTAGTTGAAGGATTCAGGTGAAAAGCTCTCTGTGGTGTATCCATGTTTGATGAAGAAACTGTGGCAATGTGGGCATGCCAGTGTGAGTTAAGCATTAGCCCTTGATAACAGTCAGAGTAATGTACCAGATAAAAACTTTTTTTAGTCCTTCTTTATGAACAAAAAGTGAAAATAATTACTTCAGGCTTGTGTATAAATAAGAATTGTATTCATTTGTATAGCTGGCAAAGAAATATAATATGGTTGTGGTATCTCCAATCCTGGAGCGAGATGAAATACACGGGGGAACTCTGTGGAATGCTGCAGTGGTCATTTCTAATTCTGGAGCTGTCCTTGGCAAAAGTAGGAAAAATCACATTCCAAGGGTTGGAGATTTCAATGAGGTAAGATGCAGTATTGTGATTATCAAGCTAGTCTTACTTTGCAGCTCTTGCTTGTGTCTGTGTGTGTTGTATCAGAGTGATATTGGCAGGAAATGTAATGTTTTTCTAGAAAGTGTGGTTCATTACGTGTGAAATCAGTTATTCTCGGGTGAAATTATAGTAAATTAATTTATCAAGAATAGAGAGTGATGACTCTTAAAGGACAAAAAACATTGAATCTTTGTCATGTACTCTTCCGTGGCCTGATGGAAACTACAAAAGTATCGAGGGTCTTTAAAACCAAATTCTTTAAGTCACAGCTTTGTTATGTTATTTGTGCATGATCGGCTCAGATAGCTTTTGCATGTGTGCATGTTGAACTTACTTTAATTTGGAGGGCAATTGTTTTGTGGTTCAGATGCGAGCATTATTTATGGTCTCAATCTCTGTGAGATTGTCTTGGAAATGACAGTTCTTTTGCTTATGTTTCTTTGAGCAGAATACCGCAGTTCATTACACTTCTGAGTCAATAGCTGGTTTGCAGCATCTTCTGTTTACTAATCACATTATTTCCACTGAAGCCCCCAGCAGTTTTTAGGCCGTCCTCCAGAATCAGCTTCAGAAACTGAACTGGTAGTAAAGGCAATGTCAGAAGAAAACTGGTAGATCTGAAATGTGCTTATCCATCCATAGAACTATCACAGGCAGAAAGATCAGGGTTAAAAATTAACCAAAGTCTAAAAATACATTGTCTTACCTAATTAAATCTCTCCTTGCCAGCTAAAGTGATTAATTAACAGAGGCATTTCTTCTAAGCACTGGTTATATACCTGCAGTTGCTTTTGTTCCCTGTTTGAATGCTCCAGTCACTAAACTGAGGCTTCACAATTCAAACGGCTTTTTCATTGATTTTAAAAGTTTTTTAGTGTCTTGAAACTTGGTGTTCAAAGACCTCTGGAAGTTTTGACCTGGGCTCCCAGACCTGATCAGACTGGTTTGTGTTTCTTCAGAGGCGGCTGTTAATAGGTTCCTACACCATGGATTTCTGGCACAGGCCTGTCAGTCGCCTGTGTTGACTTCTCTTTAACAATTATTTTGACATTTGATATTATTTTATTGGATCTGTCTTTTAGCTAGCAAGAGAGTAACTAACAAATCTGTATAAAGTACAAGCACTAATAAAAATTAATTTTGGTTACTTTCCATATTCTTGATTTGTTCCCTGTGTAATCAAACAAAAATTAAATTCCTGTTACTTGTGCTAAAATATTATGTCTTTCACCAAGTTCCAAGAAACTTCTTGTTTCCAGCTATGAAACTGTAATGAAAGGCACCTAAAAAAAGAAAATATTTTTACTTTTCCATGTGAAGTATAACTAGAGTTTCATTAAGAGTTTTGCATAATTCCTAAAAGGGGTCAGTTCTTATAATCCTAAATGCTAGAATTACCACAAAACAATCTATTTATATCTTGCAGGTATACTGTAATGATTTGACATTTCTTTTTGTGTCTACCTCATTATAGAAGCAAGTAGTGTTTACCCAAAACAGCGCTGTCTTTTTAGCTAGTTTTGTTAGCAAAGCATTACGTTCATCCTTCTGAGTTGAGCAATTTTGATAGAGGAACTCTAGAAACCACCAAGACTACAGGGAAGGTTTGCTCATCTCTGTTACTTTAATGTTGTTTTCTTTATCAACAAAGTTAAGCCCTGAGGAAGGGTTGAATTTGAAATTAATTTTTGTGGATTGTCTCTGTAGAGCAGATAGGGAAAGGAGCCTAGTTACAATCACCCTTGTGGAATCGATGAGAACTAACTCGGAAGGGGAAAGAGATTGGTCTGTAACCTGTTCAGCCATGTGGAAGGGCATATAAATAAACAAAAGTCAGTCCTTCTTGAGACATCACAGTTTGTTGCTGTGAAGATGATTGTGATCTCTGGTGAGGAATGAAGAAATGAGAACTGATGAATTCCGTGAAGCAACAGCATTTTTGTTTTTCTTCTATTGTAATAAAAGAAAACTGAGAATAGAAGAAAAAAAAGAAATATATTCAAGCAGCAGAATTGTTTTGAAAAAGAATTGTGTGAGTGCCTGCCACGTGGTGTGCTCTCTACAATGAAAGGAGATAAAATCAGTGCCCAAGGGATAGTGCAAATTCATGAGACCTGATAATAAATAAGAAACATGAGATGTCACATTGCTGGGCATACTGAACCTCTAGTCCTTCTTGGTTTCAGAAGATGATCCCCCTGTATCTGTCATGCCATTCTCCTGCATTCAGATGAGGACCTAGTTTGTTCCCCAGCAGTAACCGTCCTTGATTTAGGCCTGATGTGGTTCTGCTTCTTTCAAGACGAATGGCAGTGGTTGTTACAATGGACAGATAGTTTTACTAAAAAGGGAACTGTGTTACAACACACCCTTCTTATGTGATAAGAGGCATGCCCCATTGGGTCAGGCTGGTGGATTATGTACCTTGCTTTTCTATCTCTGAGATCATCACAAAAAGGTACTATTAGGAGTAAGTCTGGCCATTTTGTTTCTTATCTGTTGTTCTTTTATGAATGACTTTGTCTAATCCCTTCTGAACCTGGTGATACCACCTGCTTTCACAAAGAAGCCGATTTCAGAAGTGCACTGCCTGCTGCATGAAAAAAGTTACTTTGGTTGAAAACAGGTACAAGAGTGTAATTTCTGTCAATACCCACTACTGCTCCTGGTTGGGATTTCTGTATTCATCTGATCCACTGCCTTTGTGATTTTATAAATTGCATTCATAATATCACCCTCAGCCTTCTGTCTGCAGATTGAAGAGCCTTTTTAGTTGCCCCTCACAAGGGAGCTGCCCCATCCCCTTCATCGTTTCAGCTGCCTGTACTTACTCTATCTCTAGGATATCCTATGCAGACGCTAGAATTGCCCAGAGTATTAAAGACATGGGCACACAGAATTCTTTTAAACCAGCAAAATTATGTTTTCTGTTACGTTTCAATACCCTTCCTGTTGATGTCTGAGATTTTCTTGGGTTTTTTACTACCACTGAGAACTAAGCAAGCAACTGTCAGTGACTCCACACATATGCTTGGTTCTGGGAAGAACCATTTCTGTACATTTTATTTAGAATATCTCTGTGAATGTTTGTCTCTCTTGATAGCTGTTAGCATTGCTCTGTCCTCGTCACTAGTACCTTTTGCAGGAGCCAGTGCATTTCTAATTGTTTAGAAATGTTTTATATGATTCTATGAAAGTTTGCAGCATATGGTACATGGGATCGTTTAACCCAACAGTTGGCTCCAGTTTCTTTAAGGAGTATCCTCTAGATTTATCCTGTGATTTTCCTGGTGGTAGTTTCAAGCCTTCTGTTTGTTTGGAGCAATAAGCATGTAGGAAATTTAAATAACCAATCTTGGCTATACACTGATATTTCCTTATAGCATTCATAAAATTAATGCATGTCACACAAAATCACAGAATCATTAAGGTTGGAAAAGACCTTTAAGATGATCAAGTCCAACCATCAACCCAACACCACCATGCCCACTAAACCACATCCTGAAGTGCCACATGAATGTGAAGGAATTCCATGTTCTTTAAACAGTATTCATCATCTCTCTTTAACTGGAATCAAAGGATCGTGATGACTTAGGAAAATTTTCTTGTGTGGTGAAAGTTCTAAGAGAAGTGCCTAAATTTTGGCAATTTTTGGATCTCTCTTAAGCTTCTGTAGAAGTTTCTAGCATGAATAGAAGTGTTTATGTCAAAGTCAGACAGTGCTTAGGTGTAGTCTGAATGAAGGGAAACGGAAAGGGATTTGAATTTGCTATATATCCATTACAGTGCAGCTTATTGTCTAATGACTTGAAGCTGGTAATCAGAATTTGGGAAGTGTCAAAGTGACGTTGCAGCTATTTCTTTTCACTTTTTAAAGAAGTCTGCACTTGTGTGTGTTTGTTTGTAGTCTACTTACTATATGGAAGGAAATACAGGACACCCAGTGTTTCAGACACAGTTTGGAACAATTGCTGTGAATATCTGCTACGGGCGCCATCACCCTCTGAACTGGCTCATGTTTAGTATGAATGGAGCTGAGATCATCTTTAACCCTTCAGCCACTATTGGAACACTCAGGTAAAATACAAACTGATTTAGGCTGTTGCACACTTACTGGGTTAAACTGAACCTCTCACCCCTTCACTGGGGCCTCAAGGGCACCTTACAGAGGTCTTGGAACCTGAGGTATCACCTCCTTGTTTTGCCTTCATAAAGGAATCTGCATTGTTCTCCATCTGGAGTTTTAGGCTGCCAGTCTGCTCATAATCACTAATTCACTTCCAGAATTTTAGTTGTACATGTGCAGGACTTTTGTCTCTGAGACAGAGTTAACCAGCATCCATGTGGTGTTCTAAAAACTAATGAGAGTTTCTTTAGATTGTCTATGTAATATTTTTGCTTTATGATAGGCGGTAGTAATTTACATTCAGGCTTAACTTGCCAGCTTGCATTGTCCACCTAGGAACCAATAAGTGTGGTATCAAATTGCACTTTTCAGAGCCAAGCTGAGAAACCCTTTTCTCAGAACCATTTTTTTTTAACTGTTGGCAATTTTGTTATTATCAAGCCTCTTGAACCAGATTGAACCAGTGTAAACTATTTCCCTTGAGACTAATCTTCTGCAGATTGACATTAATTGCACCCTACTGACTTGATTTGCTAGAAGAAAAAAGAAAGCCAGCTCAGTGAGCTACGAAAATACACTTCTTAGCTAGCCCATAATGATTAATTTGTGGATTAGGTCTTGAATGTTCTTTGCCTCTACATATCAGCATCAGTCACATTTCAATATAATAACCTTTGAATGTGCCATGCTTCCAAAACATTGTCTGACACAGGCTGTGTATTGCTTGGGATAATATAATGTAATGTTAAATAACTGTATTTCTTTGGGACTGGTGGGGGGCTTTCTTTAGGTAGAAACCTTGTACAAATGGTTTCACTGATTCTTTGTACCACTATTCTTTACAAAATCACCATGCCTTTCTTTCATTTTCATTGTATTAATTTCTTTGCCATACTACTCAATACTTTCAAGCTCCAAATTAGACTATTTGTAAATTGAAGTGTGGGATTCCAGAATGTGTCTACATATCAGCTTAACACATGATAGAACAACTGTGCTTTTTCTTTTTGTCTTTTTTGTTTCCTGATAACAATAGACCCTGAAAAGTAATTTAGTATTCTATAACGTTTACATACATATGACTGAGGAAGGGATGGTAGTTTATATTATAAATATTAATATTTTTATCCCTTTTCAGCATAAGTTTTTAACTTTGTACAGGATGGAGGGCAAAGTCTGGCTTTGCAGAGTTCTTCAGAAGAAAAACATTTCCTTTGTGAGTTGTAAAAAACATGTTTTGGGCTAGCTGAACTGACTTTGAGTTTACAGCTCCAAAGATAAGTTTTAGGAAGCTAACAGGAGCATATTTCATTGTTACTGATGATATTGTAATACAAGTATAATATCCAGTAGCAAACAAAAGAAGACGACATACTGACCTCTTGTAATACTCATTTCTCTTCTCTATCCCTTCATCTGGGCTTGTGTGCATGCACTAATTGCAGAATACTGTCATTTTTACTTCTTTAAACCTAGAGGAAGAGATTTTTCCAGCATCAGTTTTGCAAACCTTGATGTATGAAACGTTCAGGCAATATAGACTTGCTAACTGGGTATACAAGATCATAGAAGAGTTAGAAATGTAAGAGGAATATCTTTTTTAGCATTTTCCATTTTGTAAAAAGGTCCAAGAACATTCATTCAATTTTTGTTGCTGACCAGCTAGAAAATTCTGAGGACACTGAGCATTCATTAGAGGGTAGAAATGGTGAAAACAGATTAGAGGCATAAAATTTTCATACCCGCAGCCAGTTCAGATGCAGAGAACTATGTATTTACAAATCTGGAGAGTAGAACTGTAGGTTAGATGCAATATTCTGTCATTCAAACTGCCTTTAATAGCTTTTGGTCTAAAAGCTAAATTTAGATTGAGTAATGCTGGAAAATGTCCTTTGAAAAGAACTGAATGAATACACAATGCTTTTGGGGCATTTATGTCACTACTAGAATAATATTTGTGATGTTTGTCTGCTTATAGCCCATTAACAGGAGAGCAAACAGACCTTACCCTGTTGTCATACAGCACTTCGTTGGTACTCAGGGTGCTTCAGGCTCTCCTAATTATTGGCTTTCACTTGATTGTTTTTTTAAGCATATAATTTTTATTGCAGGAAGAGGACTCTTGAGGCTCATGTAAAAACTGTCTCTGGGGTCGCTTCTTGGCTATAGCCTTTTTTTCCTGTCTTTCTTCTTCTGTGAAATTGTAATTTGCTGGAGCTTTTCAATAAAATCCCCTTTTCTTAGAAGAGCTGGCTGCCAGACTCAAAGCAGTTGAGAAAAGAGGCAATAAACCAAGTCCTTTCAATCAGTCCAGTGACCATCTCTGAAGATTCTTGAGTCTGACTGGGAGATTAACGAGTCAGATGCTTGCAGCCTTGTCTTGGTACTCAGAATCTGGCAGGTACATGCTGTCACAGGAGTGTACAAATTGTATCACCTTTGTTTTGGAGTTCTGAGTACTTCTGAGACCTGCTATTAACTAGTTTGATCCCTGTGTATCAAACTATTTAATAAAAAGAAGACTATTTCAGTTTTAAACATCAGTCGGAATTGAAATCTCCTTTGGAAAAGAGGTAGAGGCTTGTAAAAGAGAAAGAATTTTTTATTCCTTATTTCCCAGTTCTTGATTTTATGTAAATTTAGTGGCTGTTTTGATAGATAATTACTGGGAAGTTACTGGCAGTTAAACATGCTTTCTTTTTCATCAACCTACCATGGGAAAATGACTTACTGGAAAGTGCTATGAAAACTGTGGTTGAAATAATAGAAGTAGGAAATTTTGATGGAAATGGATTTTTCCTTTTCTTTAATCTTTTTATTACTCCCATAATTGATTTTTTTTTTTTTTTCATTTACTGCTGCAAAAGCCTCTCCTGAACCATTTTGGGAAAAAGGCAACTTGTATGAATCTCTTACAGCTTGGCTGCAGAATGATGTTTGGTATATTGAAAACTAGTGGAATGTGAAAGCACGTGTAAATCCTTTGCATAATTTGGAGAGTAAAACATTTTCCACTTTAATTGCTTTAAAAATCTTGAGATGTGTTCATTTTTTTCTTTTTTTTTGCCATGACAAAGCCGTATTTACCAGGTTATCAGATAGAATTGTTTATACTTACATTTGAGCAGAAAATAATTACAGTGCTCGGTTATATCTATGGGGACATTTTGATTGTAAGAGCAAGATCAGTCTTAGGAGCTAACTTTGGCTTCTTTGTCAGAAAATGTACAGTGTGAAACAGTCATAATCTAAATATAGCTCTGAAGTAGACAAGTAGTGAATACCTGCCTCCTCTTTTGTGTATTACAGTGAGTCACTGTGGCCAATTGAAGCGAGAAATGCTGCCATAGCTAATCACTGCTTTACGTGTCCCATCAACAGGGTAGGAACGGTATGTATCTTCACTTTGTTATTCCATTTCATAATTTAGGTATTGTAGCATGAGTTAATTCAAGGTAACGCACTGAATAGCACTAGAATGCATAGATTCCTCTACCATATAACTGCTGTATTAGTGTTTATAATGTGATTTGAAGATGGACAGTGATAGAGAGACTGAGATCTGGCCTTGTTGCTGGCAGCCTACTTTTTGGTTGCAGCTGCTTCCTGTTCTTGAATTGCTTGCTTTGTAACAGGCACCCGCCCTTTTGCTAATTCTCCTACTTTCTATGGTGAAATCAGTTTTCTTTTAGCCAAAATGACTGAAAATGAAATATATCCTCAAGTCAGCAGTACACAACTGGTTGCTGTTGTTCAGATATTACCTCTTTCTGGACACTGAAATTCTATAATGAAAATTAATATTGCACATAATAGGTTGTTCTTGCTTTCAGATTAGTCCAAATACCCTACATGTGTGTTCCTTTATAAGGTTCTGTGCAAAAATCCAGACTTGTTCTTGCCGTTACGTGAATACTTTTGCCTTCTTTTGTGATCCACAAAGATGTGTTCGGTTAAATGTCTCTTCTTCCTCAGACTTGTGAAACTGGTAAGAGACATGTTCCTCAAAGTGTATGAACAACAAGCAGTGATACAAAAAGATCTTGTTTTCTCACCTATCCATCATAGAAACTAGACCCCTCTGATGACTCCCTTTAGACAATGCTGATAGTATGCCAGAAAAAATCTTAATAGATTTATATAGACTTCTGTACTAAATATAGTAGACTGGGAAGGATTTCTTGAATTAAATGGAATTATACTGCCACCTACGGATTGCTCTTATTTCACAGGAGTACTACAAAAATGCTTTTACTTCTGGAGATGGTGGAAAAGGTATGTTCAGAAATGACATTCAGTGGTTGCTAATAATTGTTAACTAGAAAGTCTGAAGAAACAACAGCTCTCCTGCAAGTGTCTATCCCATGACAGCTATGGTAGCTAGTGACTGCCTTACTTAAGACTGCTGTTTTGTCAGCTGGAGAGAAGCAGCACTAACTATTAAAGGTGGTGGCATCATGCTATGTAGTCACCAGAAGTTCATACCTAAGGTTTCTATATACTTTCAGAGGACTAAGAGTTTTGGAGTCAATGCAGTATTGTAGGACTGGAGGACAGAAATCCCACAAATTAGCCTGTGTTGTCAGTGCATGCATGACATTTTATTTGTAGTTTTAAGATTATTAACAGTAATAGCCCTAGCCTGAATCCGTGGCCAAGCCATTTTGCCCTGTTTCACAGATTTGCTTGGAGTTAAGAGGAGAATGCTCAAAGAAGAACATGAGATTTGCTTGCATGTATTTCATTTGTACAGTGAAACACTGTAATTTGTCCTGTGACAACCTTCTGGCTTAATCTGGAGTGGGCCTGAGCATTTTTTTTTTTAAGCTAGTTTTGGAGCTAAGTGTTTGTAGCAGCTGCATCAAAAAGGTCAGTGGTATCCATTGCTTAGTAGTACAACAGATGTGGCTGATTTTTGGCACAACTCAGAGTTGTGCAATATAAAGAATTTTTCCATGCCTCAAATCCCAGTGTTTTCACTTCTGACTTTGTATTGAAAATAGAATGGATGCATCTCTGTCAGCTGTTTTGGAAATGTATTATTTGACAATAGAATTGTCAAATAATTAGAATTAAATTCTAAATAAAAAATGAAAGCAAAGCCTTTACTTTAGTTCAGAGACTTAATGATGGGAAAGTATAATGCATTATTTAAAAGGCAATGCAGTTTTTTCCTGTTAATTCGATACATGTGAAAGCTGTACCATGCATGAAAGTTAACTACTGGTCAAAACTGCAGTTACCATAGGATTGTGCTGTCACTTTTCAGGATGCTATCTTGCTTAAAGCACAGTGAGTGAGCAACCACAAGAAATTGAGCCAGGTTTTATGGGACACTGCATGTTAAGTTGTATACTTATTTGCAGATGGTGTTACATGCTTTTTAAAAATTTCTTTAAGCACACCATGACTTGGGCCATTTTTATGGCTCAAGTTATGTAGCTGCACCAGATGGCAGTAGGACCCCAGGACTCTCTCGCACTCAGGATGGACTTCTGGTGGTAGAGATGGATCTAAATCTTTGCAGACAAGTCAGTGACAAATGGAATTTTAAGGTAAGCCTGCTTATAGAGAAACAAACTTACATATGATATTAGAATAAACAAGCTTTCAATAACAATCATATAATCTTACAATAGTTAAAAGGCAGCCTTTTTTTTTTTTTTAACAGTCCAAAGCTTAAATCATTGAACTAATTTAACAGGATGTTCTGGAGGACAAAGGCATAAATAGATTCAGATAAAGTATAGCCAAATTCAGGGAAACTAGGCCAATACCTTTTAAATTAAAAACTTAGCCTTTGGTCGTTAAGTGTGGATTGCCAGGAGCACTGTGGACCACTAGGGAAGGTGTGTGTGATTTCCTTATGCCAGGTATGTAGGCATTTGCCACTGAGCTGAGATGGGCCTTTGATCTGACCTAATATTCTTATAGGCCTTACTTATCAGTTTTGGTGAAATTTAGTGAAAACCCAAAACCACAAGAATCTTTAAGATTCTGAAAAGTTTCTGTATGCAAATTTCTTGTAGTGTTAACTGCCCAAATTTGTGGACATCTTGAAACCACAGAGAAAGAACTGTGTACATTCATCTCTCAAGCATCCTAACACACTTTTGAATTAATCTAAATCACATTAAGATGACTGCAAGCCTCTCCACATGGCTTTAGCAAGCTTATTTATTACTATTTTTTTGCCTTCTGAGACAAAGCTGATTTGGATCATCTGTCGTGAGCGTGTAATTTGATTTAATTTGCCCAGCAGCAGTGCTTGTTTAAGAAATTGCCACCTCAGCACTGTAGTTTGCTAACCCTTCAGTTGTGCCAGTACAAGCTATGTGAGATGCTATATTGTATACTGGCTTAGTGGAGTGCCCAGATTTTTTTTTTTTTAAACAAACAAACAAACCATGCTCTAGTTTCTTCTTTTAATCCGATTAAATTTATGGCAGGCCCCACAAATACTCTGTTGGAACAACAAAGGCGGCAAGCAAAAGGAGAAAAGAGAGGGCATCTTCTTAAATAGGCTTTGTTGGTCAAGAAAACATCTTGGTTACTTCTGTGGAGACAGGTCTTTTGTTCTAGTCCTCAATACTGCTAGAGACTAGCATTTTTTCCTGTCCACTCAGGAAGAATGAGCATGATTTGAATCCTAACAAAGTAGAACAGAACTCCTGGCTCACAACCATTACAACATATGTAGATTCCTCACTGATAATCTAGTATTTAAAGAAAGTAATCATTTTCAATGGAGTGTGAATTTTTGCACATAACGTTACTGCAAGCAGTCATTTATCTTATAGAGCTGCTTTATTGGAACCACCTTGTGCATTACAATATAGTGCAATACAAAATGTGTTTTGATTTCAATTTGATGTAAAAAATACAAATTTTCTGTGGATTTGAAATGTTGAATCAACTTTTTAATTAAAACATAGTAATTTCCTAGCTAGAGATTAATTTCTTTGGTAATGCTGCCAATCCATATATGGGGGCTAAAGACAAAAAGTAATTTCAAGTCATCTTCTGGACAGAACTGCATTTGTTATTTTACAGATGCGTGTGGTAGGTATATGGTTGTTGACATAGTGGAATTAAATTGTGCTGAGATATTCCCTTTTTTTTTTTTTTAAGTCAGGCAGGCATTTAGTTTTGCTTTGCCACTGAAATCTGAGGTGCTTATTACAGAGGAGAGATTTAGTGTGTCAGGAAGCACAGGGAACATTGCTTATAATAGCTTAGTAGGGATATCCGAACAAAAGCAATTGTATTGATTAGGAAAAGCAAAACGCTGACCTTTAGCTGTTTTGTATAGAACAGCTTATTTTTTGTTGTCAAGTCTTGTGCTTTCAGCACCTTATTTTTGTGTGGATGGTGTGGGTTGCTATTGTTGGTCTTTTGGCACGTAAGGCACATTTGTGGCTTTTATTTATATAACAGGAGATATCTATTTCCTTTTCCTCTCATCTGTGGCCAAGACAGAGGTAGCTCTTGATATGAGGGGAATGGGGAAGTATGAAATCATCATTCATTCACCACAGAAAACCCTCGATAGCAAGTAGGAACCTATTTAACCTGCTCTGCTATCTGCAATTTGCATTCTAGTGATGCCTGAAAGGGATGTTAAGTAGAATGTCTTTGCTAAACTTACAGCAGCAAAATAGTTAAGTTGTCCTCATTACACTCTGGCAAGAAGGAAATAGTTTGCCCCTCTCAGAGCCAATGTTGCAGACTGTGCACTTAAGAAGAGGATAGCACTATGTAAAGTACTATATTTCAGCCTCCTAGCTTACTGTATCACCCAAAACAATGATAATATTTCATATTATTAATGGATACACTAAGAGCAACCCAAATACCATCAGTGGCACATATGCAAACTTATTGCTGGCAGCAGGGTTCATCAGTTGTCAAGGACATAATATGAAGACGTAATTACAGATATACCCTTTTGCTTTCATTTACATAACTGACTTAAAAGAGGATATTGTTGATGCGTAAGGAAGTCCATCTTTCACATTCAACTTTCAGCTATCCAGGATAACCAAAATAGCCTTAAGTCAGCAGACATGACTGTCAATGAAGGAGAGCTGCAAAGCAGGAAGGTCTTAATTTTAAAGTTTTCCTTTTTAGACTGGAAATGCACTTCCTCTCTTTTTTGGGTACAGGTGTAGTTTTAGGCAACGCAATTCAAATTCTTCTTTTATAAAAGTATAATAGTTTGTGCTGAGGCACTGGTGGTCTTGCATATTGAGTGAATTCTGATTTTACTGTCTGGGGCAATTAAATAATGTTGTCATAAAAAAATGGTATATATAAATATTTTCCACTGAAGTACTTTCATAACTCACTAAAGGAACTGAAGCTTTGATTTTTCTTTTCCAGATGACTGGTAGATATGAAATGTATGCAGACAAGCTCACTGAAGCAGTCCAGCCTTATTTTATACCCAATATAATCAAAGAATAAGAGAGAGCATCTCATTACAATCAAATGTTACATAACAAATTAAAAGGTACAGTTGGATGGTAGCTTTACTATGGATCCTTATTTTAGTGTTGTCTGTTTGATTTCCTGTAAACAACTTTTAAATAACAGAATTCAAATCTGTGTTAAGTAAAGGAATTGAAAAATGGCTTCTTGGGGTTTTTTTGGTCATTTACACTAGTGAGTCCAAATTTTTGTTCCTTACTAAAAATATATCCAGTAGGAATACATTGATATAAAACGTATTATAAAATTATACTACTATAATTTTATAAATTATAAACTCAAATTATATTATAAAAATACTGTGTACTGGGGTATATATTTTGATGGAGATTATGAGTTCAGAGGACATAAAAAATTTTTACTTAATCTTTTTAATGTCTTGCATTGTGTGTCTGTTTACTTCTGCTTTCCAGTTTTTACCCTCTACTGAAATACATTATTTAGGCAGAAAAGAGGCATAAATTCTTTTCACCTGCTTTTTGAAATTAAGAGCTACTTGATGCAGTTCTGTTAGAGCTAAGTAACATCCCAGATGTGTCCAAGTTGTGTGAAGATCTGTGTGTACTGTAAGGCAAGACCAGTTTGGTTCTTTTTGTTTCTGTTTATGCTACAGATTACAACCACAGTTGGACCAATGTCTTTGATGGGCTCCTTCAAGGTGCAGAAGTGGTGCTGCAGGCAGATGCTTTTAGTCTCTCCAGAAGCTCAGTGTGGTGTTGTGAGGCAAAAATAGAAACACTAGCTAAAGCATAGGCAAGGCTGGTGCAGTTGCATACTTTTCATTGTGAACAGGCGGCCATGGAGATGCTATTAGGCATCAGGCTGGGTAATGAAAACTACTTCCCTGGAGCTGCACCCCAGTAGGGTACTCAGTGGTTGCTATTCTCAGCTACTAGTGTATATTGAAATTTTGCGTTGTACGATTCAAATGATGGCAGTAGGTGTTCGGGAAGTGCAGAATGAATACAATTTACAGCCTAGCAACTATGAATTTATAGCTGAAATAAATATTTGAACTCTTAATTTTTTTGTCCATATTACAATTTCAGCTGTGCAATTTCCACTTAAGTATATAACACATCCTGTAAAGATTTTCCAACATTTTTCATAATAAGCTAGTTAATAAATGCACTTACTACATTATGTTACAGGGTTATCTGTGACTTTAAACCTTTATTGAGAATGGCTTAATTACAAATAAAAATATATTTATGTATAAAATCCCTGCATGTAAAATACCCTTCCTTTAATATTGACATGAAAGAAACAAAGTGACAAAACATTTTCAGAATGAGTATTTTGATAGATGATCTTGTAATGGGAAACAAAGTTTCAGAAAATGCAGATGCTCTGAATGCTTGCACAGTGAGCTGCTTTTTAATCTGAATTTGTGTCACATAAATACTCAGTCTTTTCACTTGGCTTCTGCTTCCTCCTTGTGTTTTCATCGCTCGTAACTATCTTCCAATTGGTGACTCTAAGAGATCCTGTTGCAATGGTGGAGCTCCCCTTTTGTCTATATTGGCTTAACCAGCTTTGTTTCTTTATCTTTCAGTTTTATTGAAGTATTTAAACCCTGGGTACCAAACATTTAACAGTCAATATTGTTACACCTATCTGTGCACTTCAGACTACTTCGCATGCCCTTAAGTTAATGTTTTATGTATAAGCTCAAGATTTGTGTTTGGGTAACTGGACCAGTAAGAGGCTGTATGTCAGTTACAAGCCTTTTGTTTTTATTTAGCTAATCAAGCCTGCTCTAAAATAAATCCTGTGGCAGTTTAATGGAATTGAATGAACTACCTACCTGAAAACGCATGGGTTAAGGAAGTACTCTATCAACCTGTAGTTTACATACCTGTTAATTAGTAACATAGCTAATAGTCTCTCTAAATCAAACATCATGAATTTGGACGTAAAAATTCCCAGATCATTAGCCTTCTGGTGACATATTTTGGAGGAGCCAAAAGGCATTATCTATAATAGGTCTTGTACCTTCTTTCTGGGATTCTGCTGGTGGCACTAAGGTACTGTTTCTACTGCTCACAAATCACATCCTAAGTTTTACTCATTTTGCAAGTATAAGTGCCAGAATGTATTCCAGCTTCATCAATGATACTTCACCAATGATAAGCAAAATCCGATACCTGGAAAATTTCTTGTCACATGCTTTTTGTTTGGAACTTTTTAAAGGCTACTGCATTTTAAATGTCTGTTACTATTTTTAGTCTTTGCACAAAGGAGCACTCTTGATTCTACTAAGTGTACTTATTGAACACTTTCCAGATACTTTCCAGTAAGTTGACAACTGATAAAAAGAAAATGTTTCCTCTTAGAAAAATTTTTTACCATGCTGAAAGTAGATTCCTATTTATCATTTCCACCACTAAACAGCAATGTCCTTAGTGTTATTCCACGCAGTCCCAAAACTTGAACAGTTCTTTTCCTAAAATCCTGCCAAAGGTGTGGGATCTCTTGTCTTAAGTGCAAAATAAAATGTTGCTGGCTTTACATTAGTATTAACATTGGGTTTTTTTCTACCCACTTCAACATAGGCAGGACTGGAGATCAAGACTTGTAGGGAATTGTGATGGACGAATCTGAAATAGGTGGCTATTTCCTACACTTTACAGTGCTCCTCAGCAAAGTAATTAAACCCAGGTAATACATGGGAGGATTATGAACGGGCTGCTAACAATATAACTTGATAATGTCTGAATACAGTAATTCCAACTTAATCCAAATACAGCCATAGTATAAGAGCTAGAAGATCTGAGTTCCTGCCTTTTTACTTGTAGCAGAGAGACATTTGTATTCCCTCTTTTCTTAATTGATTTCAGCTCTTCTTAGAAGGTCACTGAAATAATACCAATAGCAATATTTGGCTCAAATTATGATTCAGCATTTTAGTTACAATCCAGTATATGCTGTCACATATTTATTACAATTTACACACAAAAATGTATATAATTAGTGTGGATAATTTTCTGTATTTGCTTAGTAAGTTTGAAGTTTATATTTAGAATGGATTCTGCAGAAACTGGCACATGGGTGGCATAATGTTCAGAGGTTTTTGCAAAGAGCAATAAAGACTTCTAGGTACAAATAAAATATTTTCACTTAAACTTTTGGGGCAACACAGAGCTCTGAGCAGTCATCCTAGAGGACTTAGCCAAAAGAGATTGAATTTGTAGTGCAAGGGAACAATACCATTACCTACGACTCAAAGTTTAATGCAGTGGCATAAATGCTAAATCTGTGGAAGGTGAATTTGGTACACAGGAAGCTTCCTTGAGTAAATGTGTTTCATTCCTACAATGCAGACAATATTCATGAGCCAGCAAGACATATTTTGCTATTTAAAAGTGGTTTAAGTTAATATTTTTTCCTTCCATAATACCCCGCTGAATCTCAGATTCCTAGATTTAGGGTGAAGGTGAGCCCTTGATGCTTTGACAGAGAAAGAAACAGGTATTTTCTATTTTTTTTTTTTCCCTGGTTTTGTTTACTTAAACTTATGCATGTATTACCAAGTGTTAAAGTTCATAAATTTGGTGCTTTTTTCTCATGTGTTTAATTTGAAAATAAGCTCAAAATGAACAGGCTCTGGGCCTGTATTTTAAAACTGCTGTCCAATGTGCGATGTTGAAAATGAGGGGGTGGGGAGGAGTGAGACATACATTGCAAAATCAGATACATCCTCAGGAAAAGAAGAAAGTAAAGACAGCATTGCAGTATAGTCCTATCAGTGTCTATAAAGCCTCCCTTGTTTAAGATCCCACTGCAATTCAGGAGCAAGGTCGCTGCAGGGGGAGTCCTGAGACAAGCAGCCAGCTGCCAGGCAGGCTGCACAGGAAAGGACCAGAAGTATCAGGTGTGGATGTCAGCTGTCTGTGTAGATGAACAGAATATCTTCATCAGTGCCGTAACTTGTCCTGGCTTCCTCAAAGTTGCTGATGCTGGTGCAGCACGTTCCTGTTAAGGAGGAACAAAATGTTATTAAAAATTCAGAAGAATTGGCCTGTGAAAGGCTCTTATACTGGGTCTAGCAGCCTCTACAAAGAAAAGTAACTAGTACACAGACTAGGTTACATTAACCATCAGCTTGGGTCACAGCTTTACTCAAGCAGATCTTTTCTCACTGAAGTAATGTTGTAAACAGGTACTAAATTTGCCATCCTGTTATATTCTGAACAACAGTTTAGCATTGCTCACTAATCCATGTGAAAGCCAAACAAGTTTGCTAGAATGCGTATCTCAATGCCCCAGGTAAATCACAGCACAAAATGCAGCACTGATTTAATTAATGTGGCAAAACCCTGTCCGACAAATTGGTTAGCAATGCCTGAAATACATGCACACTACTCGGGGAATTCCAGCTGTGGCTCTGTATTAGTGACATGTTAGTAATGTGGTGTCTGAGAATCCACCCAAAAGGAACAGGCTACTCACGGTCAGCATAGGCAGGGTTGTTGTAGTAAATACTCCCTGAGGCTTTGTTGTAGCCACATAACACGATGAAATGGCCCTGGTAGTCGGGATTCCTGCAGAAGCACTTCTGTCCAATGGGGAGGAAGCAGCAGTATTTGACAGGACTCGAGCAAAGATCACACAATAGCAGGACTGCGTTCACTAGGACGATGGCTACATGACCTTGAGACAGGTGGTTTTGGATGTCTTGAACAGTTACTGTGCTGCACAAAAAAAATCAGACATGCTTATCAACAAGCTTAGGAAAGAGACTGGTATACAGTAAAGTATGTGATGACGGACAGTACTTATGACATGCAGCTGGCATGGTTATTTTTATATTGCAGATACAGCTTTTTTTCCTGTTAAACCCTGCAAGCTTTGCTACAGACAAAGCCTAACAAAACCTGTGTCATTCAAGGCCTTTTGATCTCATTGCTGCTACTGAAGTTCAGAGCAATAGCTCTGGATTCTGCAGTAATATAAATGTAATCTCAGAATGTATCAGATGCCCCAGAGAAGAGTATTAAAGGAGCTGGCAACTCCTTCAGTAACTT